ATCAGAGTCAAGGCTGCAGACCTTGCTCAGAAAATACCATGGAACACAGAGCACTGACATTCTGGAACTGGGCAAGGAAGGAGGCCAAGGGACTCACCTCCCCAGTTTTCTGTCAGTTTTCTGTTCTGGATTCAGAGCCTCATTTCTGACTTGGGTGGGCTGATAGGTATGTGTAAAAATGGTGTGGCAGCAGTCTGACCTCCTCTAACCTCAAGAGGGGGGAGAATCATTACCAGCATCAACAGCCCAAGGCTGATTCCTATGAGGAAGAGGTGAAACATACCTCCACCCTCGAAATGTTTTACCAATTCTGATACCAGCTGTGATGGTTAAGATTGTATGTCAGCTTGGCTGGGCCATGATTCTCAGTGTTTTAATGTGATCATTCCCATGATTGAATATACTGTGAGTAGCCAGTCAAATGAAAGGGCATCTCCTTGGGGGTGTGGCCTGCATCTGAATATAAGAAGACGTTCTGGCTTTTTGCTCCCTCTGGATCCTGCGGCTGCCTCCTGTCGTCTCATCTCTGGTTCTTGGGACTTGAGTTGTCAGCTTATCTGCTGAACTTGGGATTCATCAATCTTCACAGACTGTGAGTGGAGCCCTGCTCTCTGACCTGTCAATCTTGGGTTTGCCAGCCCCTGCAATCATGTGAATCAGGAGAAACCTCGTGGTCTTGCCTGCCCATCTTGGAATTCGTCAACCTTCACAGCCTGTGAGCAGGAGCCCTGTTCTCCTACCTGCCAATCTTGGGCTCACCAGCTTCTGCGGCTATGTGACTTAGGAGAGGCCTCTACCCTGATCCATGGACTTGGGACATTCTAGCCTCTATAATCGAAGGAGCTATTTCCTTGATATAAATGTCTCTCCCTATATATATTTATACATGTTACTGGGTTTGCTTCTCTAGAGAACCCTGCCTAAGACACCCCATGGACTCTCTTCTTCTCTGGTGTGTAACTCATTTCAATGGCCATGTGGAACTCACAGTCCATACTCACAGTTATGGGGTTTATTAAGGAAGTAACATGTTATAATTCACAATACAGTTCTTTGATCAGGACAGCCTCTTCTCAGCCTTACCCACAGGCAGGCCTCTCTCTCTGGCCCTTGGCCTCTTGGCCCTGCAGCCCAGCCTCTGCCCTGCTCAGGCAAGTGTTATAAAGATCTTTAGCTATACGAACAAGTGCCTGGAGGGACCCCACTCTGCCAGGAAGCCTCCTGCCCAAAAGTGCTCACCTCTCTCACATAGCCCAGAAAGACATCAAAGGGTGGCTTTGAAGGATGGACAAGACTGGAAAGGACAGAGATGAGCCCTCTATGTGGTCTTCCACATGAGCAAAGATTAGCCCCAAAAAGGAACCTGGTATTTTGTGGGACAATGAGGTCAGCATGTCCACTGTAACCACCTTGCTCTGTGGGCCAGGAAGCCCACTGCTCCGTCTAGTGCCGGACTCTTGATTCTATTGCTGCCACTTCTTCGCCCTGTCTTGTGCCATCTCTGGTGTTACAGTTCTTTCTCTCCTGGGTCTAGGAGATTCTCAGTGTAGGCATCCCGGGTCCAAAGGATGTGCTCCACTCTTAGCTCTTCTTTCTTGGTGGTAGTGAGGTCCCCCTCTGCTCTTACTTTCCTTTCAGTTACCAGAGTAACAATCTAAGAATCATAAGTTTCACTTCCCACACTCCTTCGTTCTTTCTCTTACAAAGTCTCATGCTTCTGTGGGTCTGCAGCCCTTGCAATGCGTCCTGCTTCTGACACCAACTGTAAAAATAGTGGTGCAGCGGTGTCTGACCTCCTCCTCTAATTTCATAAGGGGAAGGATAGAGAATCATTATCAGCATCAGCAGCCCAAGGCTGATTCCTATGAGATGGAGGTCAAACATACCTCCACACTTCAACCTTTTTACCAATTCTGACACCAGGTGTCGCTCCCACAGCACTCTCTACTCACAGAGCAGCCAGGGTAACCTTTTAAAAACACGTTTATCATATTATGTTACTCCTTTCATGTTAAAGGTGTTCAGTGGTTCCCTACTGTATTTAGAATAAAATCTTCAAGTATAGCCTGGGTCCTAATTCCATGTTATCACCACCAAGGTGAGAAAGCCCAACATGACGTGGCTGTTACCCACCTCATCTCCTGCCACCCTCCTCCACGTCCACCATACTCCAACATATGGTAAGCTATTTCCTTCTGGCTTTTGTTCAAGTTGTCCCCACTCCCCACCCACATGGTATGTTTCTTTTCTGATCTCAACTTAGTGAGATCTTCCCTGGCTCCACTAATGAGTTTCCTTGTTGGGCAGTGGTACCCACTCTGCTCACAGTAATCAAGACTTGACTTCCAGAGTCATCTTTGATCCATGCCTCTTTTGTCTCACACTGTGAATGTTTGAAAAGTCCAGTTAATTGTTCATTTAAATCTGTTTCTCCTCTCTGTCCTTTCCTACAGCATAGCCCAGAAAGACATCAAAGGGTGGCTTTGAAGGATGGACAAGACTGGAAAGGACAGAGATGAGCCCTCTATGTGGTTTTCCACATGAACAAAGACTAGCCCCCAAAAGGAACCTGGTATTTTGTGGGACAATGAGGAGACACACCACAGAAGCCCACATTTATTTTTCTTTATTCTGAACTTATATTCAGTTATTTTCAATACTGTTCACTTTTGGACTATGGTCCTTAAGTTTTTGAGGAGTTTATACAAAAAACCAAACCCATGGCTGTCGAGTCAATTCCAACTTATAGTGACTATAGGGCAGAGTATAACTGCCCTATAGGGTTTCCAAGGCTAAATCTTTACAGAAGCAGACTGCCACATCTATCTCCCATGGAGCAGCTGGTGGGTTTGGACTGCCAAGTGCTTAACCACTGTGTCACCGGGGCTCTTTGGGGAGTTTAGAAAGGCCCTAAAATACTATGAATACTTCTCTCACAAAAATGCACATATACACAAAAACTTGCAAATCATGGGGGAGGAGAGCTCCTAGGCTAATTCTCTGCTTTAGGAGTCAATCATCTACTATCTTGAATATTTGCAGTGTTACCTAATTGCTTATTTCATTCAACAGTTACTTCTCGAAGGCCTACAATGAGCCACAGTTGTAGGGGTCGGGGTTGTATACAGGGTAGACCAAGATAAATACATGTTCCTACCTTTATGGAGTTTGCATTTAGTGTGTTAAAAACAATCAAAACTCACTGAAATTTGTACACAAGGTTTGTTCTGAGCAGTTATTCTATATGCATATAGGGAGACCATTTTGATTCCAGCAAAAGCAAATGGCTTGAAGAAGGTAAGTACAATGGGACTTATAAAGAGAAAACAACAACAATAACAAAATATCAAACCTATGCCATCAATTTCGACTCATAGTGACCCTATAGGACAGGGTAGAACTGCACCATAGTGTTTCCAAGGAGCGACTGGTGGATTTGAACCGCTGACCTTTTGGTTAGCAGCTTACCTCTTAACCATTGCACCACAGGGCACAGCAAAAAAAAAAAAAAAAAAATAGGGAGAAATGCAGATGATCAACTGCTGGCTATTCTTAGCATGACTGATTGAACCCTGCCTTCCCCCTTTACTGAGATCAACTGATACCAGGTTACTTCTGGCTTGGCTGCTAATAATTTGGCCCTCCATCCACCTGCAGCCATGAGACGTTTTGAGATTTAAATTAGGCAGGTAATGGTTTGATGACTATCATTTTCTAGCAGGGTAAGACAAATTTACATTGCTATAGAGCAATTTCTGGCCAGCTTTTGCAGTTTGGGTCAGGCTTTTTATGGTTAATATTTGGTTTCGTAGGATCCCTGGTGGTACAGTGGTTAAAGTGCTCAGCTGCTAACGGAAAGGTTGGATGTTGGAACCCACCAGTCGCTCCTTGCAAGAGAGATGTGGCAGTCTGCTTCTGTAAAGATTTGCAGCCTTGGAAACCCTATGGGGCAGTTCTACTGTGTCCTATAGGGTTGCTACGAGTCAGAATCGACTTCACGGCAATGGGTTTGGTTTGTTTGCTATTTGGTTTCGTGGATAAGAAAAACCTTAAAATCAAAGGAAGAAGTCTGTTATTAACTTCCGTCTTCACAAGTGTAATAGACAGACATTAGACAAATGATAATGTCAGATAATGGTAAATGTTATGAAGAAAAATAAAGGAGGGAATATGGGTGGCTGAGACTGTTTTAATGGTGTGGTCCTTTCTGAAATGACACTTGATCCAGATCCGTATAAAGTGAGGCAATGGCCCGGAGAAGACGTGAGATCAGAAAGTGAGAAGACTCCGGTGTCTTTTCTCCCTCCTAAAATAGAAGGCAAGGTCGAGGATTCTGTACATTTTTTTTCTCCCATAATGGGTAACCCGGGTTTTCGTCTGGGAGGGCCTCCTCACCTCATTTCAAAAGCCCAAATCCTACCTCCACCCCCCACCCCCGTTTTGTTTTCCTGGAATGTCTCTTCCTTTGGGAAATCTTAACTCATCCATCAATAATCGATCTCGCGCTCCTCTGAATATTAGCATAACTTTTTAAAAATAGTGCTTGTTATAATTTAAGGATGTGTGACTGTGGTGGTGACTGTTCTTTTTTTGGGTGCCGCAGAGAAAGCCGCCGCCACTCTACTGCAGCTATACCCGGAAGCACGTAGAGTCTATCTCTACTTTCCCAAGGCACCAGGGGCAGTTTCCCGCGGAGACTACACTTCCCAGAGTGCCCTGCAGCCTGGGAGGTCGCACGGGCGGTGTCTTGTAGGAGTCGGACTGAGACAACATGGCGGGTTCGCTGTGAGGTTCCATCGAGGTAACCGCTGCCCTTTCTGCCTCCGGTCGAGTAGTCCCGAGGAGCTGGGCAGACCCAGAAGGTTTATCAGTAGGTGTTGAGGTCTCCTGCCGGTCGTTCGCGGCAGGAAGAAGCCACCTGCATCCTCAGGCTCTGTCCGTCCTACAGAAGGGCCAGTGTCTAGTCGCGCGCTTCAGGTAGGGCTCTCCTCGTGCCTGGGCGACTGCCCGGGTGAAGCTGGTGGAGCTCGTGGCTCCGGGGACCTCTCCAGATCGAAGTCTTTCCTATTTGTCCCTGTGCTCTTGGTAGCCTATTCCTCAGACCTTGGACCCTCCGAGACCCCCTAGCTTTTGCTTCGGGGTTGAATTCTGGGCCAAGGGACCTACCCACTGAAATTGTCTTCGGTTCGGGGGGTGGATAATCTGGCCCCCAGCTGGGTGTGCTTGCCTCTGAGGTGGCCTTGGACAGAGGGGACCAAATGGCCCCCAGTATGTTTTTTTCTTGGACTCATAGGCACAAGACATGAATTTGCGTCCCACCCGTGCCACCCATTAGCAGCAGAATATTTTACCTCTCAGAGCGTCGGTTTTTAATCTGTGAAATGGAGATGCCTACTTCACTGACTTGTGAAAGTCAGAGCACATGATGTGCCTGAAATCCGGTTGTAAACTAAAAAGCACGCTGTATGAACTCAGGTTTAGCAGTGCTAATGCACTGACTTTGCAAGGAACCAGTCTGTATAGTTTAGTCTAGCAAGTAAGACTGCATGACCTGTGTCCTAATTCCGTTTTATTACTGTCCACGGAAAGGGAACAAATAGTCACTAAGGCCAATTAAATACAAGGGATGTAACAGTAGTTATATGTTATTTATTTTCAACGTGAAGGTTGTGATTGTTATCACCATTTTACCGTTGAAGTTTCCAAGTTTGTAAGTGACTGACTCTGCAGTCTTTAAAAGCAAGCCGTTTAAATTTTGTACTTTAGTTTCTTCATGAATCAAAATAAAGGTACCTCACAGGATTAATATGACTGTAAAATGAAATAGTGGTGAAAGCACCCTGGAAAAATTAAAAGTCTTATATTAAATGAAATTTAATTTGAGACTTTAGTATGTTTATAATGTGTTCCTCTAAATCAGTATTTAATAGGCTAATGATAGGCCTTGTCTAATGTTTCATTTAATCAGGAATGGAATACTACTTTAAGTGGTACAGTAACTGGTAGGTTCTACACAGATACACTAGCAATGTGAGAGAGGATGCCCTAGTACTATGTAAGTAAACGTCTCTAAAGGCAGTTACCTGTTTATTGAGTACTCATGAAGTGGAAAGAATAGCAGTGGGTGCTGATGAGCTTGCATTTAAGAAAAATAATAACAGAAATAGTTCTGGGGTTTCAGCTCTTACATTTTGATGGTGTTGCTCTTTGTCCCGTTGTTAAATTGAGTGGAAATGTAAAATTGTTTAAAAGCTTTGCTTCAGGTGACTTTAGTTCTAGATATTGATTTCTATCTTATTCTTGTATCAAATATACCATCGGTAACACTAATTTTTCTTTCTCTTAAGCAAGGATGAAAATAGGTGTGCCTAGAAGCAGACTTTAAAAGCAGTTTGTCTTCAAAACATCTTTTTTCATACCATCTGATAAGGGTCTTGATTCACCATGGCAGTAGCAGCAGTAAAATGGGCGATATCAAACACAACTGTCTTGAAACATTTATTTCCAATTCAAAGTAAGTGATTTGTTTTAATGTTTAAAAAGAGTTTTAAAGTTTTCCAAATATTATAGGAATATGTATTTATAATAGAAATTTTGAAGCGTTTAGTTTTTGTATATATCCTTAATTGTTGAATATGCCTATTAATTGCAGGAGTCTTTGTAATAATGGAAAAGTGTTGAAAGCCTAAATGTCTCTCAGAAGGAGAATCTTCACTATGAATGTCATGCAGCTGTTATCAATATGGAAAATCTCCAAATAGCAAAGAAAAAAAGCATGTCACAGAACATTATTGTATGATCCCACTTGTTTTATTAAAAGATGATTCACCATATACATATGTATGTGTACATGTGTATATATAAATGCAGAGTAAAAAATCTGGCCTAAACAGTGGTTATCTGTGTAGAGCATGAGTGGAATTTAACTGAGGGCAGGAGTAAGGGTATAGGGGAACTTTCTCTTGTTTGAATCATTCATACTTAGTATGTTTTCATGTATTTTTTAATAGTTCTTAAAATTAACAAAGGACAAATTCACAGTCACATCTTACATAAGTAATCACTGTTAATATTTTGGTGAATTGTCTTTGTGTTTTTTTCTACGTACCCGGCTATTAAAAAAAAAAGTAACTTCTACCTTTCTTTCCTAAAGAATTGTGTATAGTCTAATATTTTCTTCAAAGCTTATTAATGCATGTTTGATAGTCAAAGCATTGACCCATATAAGCAAATAGAATATTAAAATCTTATTCCCCAGCCAAACATGCTTTCACTTTCTATTTCCTCTGTGAACATTGTTCTCCTATTTCTGAACTAGACATGGTTAGAAGGCTACAATAAATTTGCTTTTTCCTAGTCAGCTGTGTCAGCCAACTTCTTCATGTATCTCTGCCTGAGTTTAATCTCTTCCTTTGTGTTGCCTACTTGCCAGCATTTGTAACTGAAAATTTGTTTTTTGAATTAAGGGGAAAGAAACAGTTTGAAGACTAGGGTAAAAAAAGGAGAGTAATAAGTAATGAGTTATATGAGGGGCCTTGAAGTAAGGAAAAGATGTTTCACATACCCAGTAAAAACCTTTGTTGAATAGAATTTTCAGAAGTTTGCTCAATCCTATTCTTAAAGGAAACGTTTTATCACTGTCCTCTTCCCCAGTCCCTACTTTGTTTTTCTTTAGGGCTCTGAGCATAATAACATTTATCATATCATCGACTTATAATTAACTAGATAGAGGAGAAGATTGCTAAGAGACTTTAGTTATAAACTAAAATCAGTGAAAATAAAACTACAGTCAGCTTTTGATTATATGGGAGCATTTTTTTTTTTCATTGAGAATTAGGAGAAGACCCCTACCGTTTGGCCTCCCCTTTACCCTGATAGGAACCCAGACCCAAGGCTGATGGCAAGTTAAGGCTAATCAGTTTTTACCTAGTCCATGCCCTAAAGAACAATTAGTTCTCAAACACATTAACCTGAAAACCAGATCTGTCTCTGGATAATTGGAAGTTTTCTAGACTCTTCCCGCTACCTTACGCATTTTGTATCATGTCCAACTTATTTTTGTGTCCTTAGTGCCTCTCACACATAACGGGATAAATAAATGTTTGTTGAACTGATCTGAATGGATCTCAGTACCTATCAAAACATCTAGTTAAGAATTTAGCTTAGCCCAGAAAATTATTCCATATCACTCAATCATCCCAATACTCAATGACTACCTAACTTCTTGTGTCTTGAAGCCCCTTATTCTGCACAATTCCTATTATTACTGAAGGATGTTTTATAAGAAAATGAAGGACATTAAGATTGGAGGCACAGAAAAACCCTGATTAAGGAGGAAAGTTCAATGAGCAAAATTAAAAAGACCTCCTTATATTCTAGAATGAACATTTAAAACTTTGTAAATATATAGGAAATGGGAATGTAGAGCATTTTTACGGTTTCTTAAGCACATTAAACCATTTGATCCTTTGATAGCCATGTGGTGGTGGTTGTTAGCTGCAGTCTAGTTGGCCCCTGACTCGTGGCGACCCCATGCACGATGGAATGAAATGCTGGTTGCAGATTGTACTGTTGTGATCTGTAGGGTTTTCATTGGTTGATTTTTGGAAGTAGATCACCAGGACTTTCTTCCTCGTCTTAGTCTGGAAAATCCACTGAAACCTGTTCAGCGTAATAGCAACACGCAAGCCTCCACTGACAGATGGGGAATTGAACCTGTGTCTCCTGCATGGAAGGTGGGAATTCTACCACTGAACCACCAATGTCTCATAGGCTATGTGGTATTATCCTCTTCATGAAGGTGAAGGAACTTGAGATCTCTAGGCCTCAGAAACTTACCCAGGGTCATATATCTGGTAAATGAGAGCTGTGACCAAAAACTAGGTCTTCCTGTGTTAGTCCGGTACGTTTTCTGCTATATTTCCTTTACTGTAGGAGCATTTGAAAATTAAGTGGGACCACTTTCAGCCTTTGTAGATTTTATCGAAGTACAATTAAACATGTATGTGCAGCAAGAATAGCTCATAAGTTACGGAGAGCTGACACTCACTGAAATTCTTCTTGACATACTGAGTTGCTTTGAGTTGATTGTTGTTAACTTTGGCATCAGTCCTTATTGTATATTTGGAACTTCTGATTCTTTCCACATCTACAATTTTTCTTCTTGCAAAATGTCAGGTAATGAGTTTTCTAGTATTAATTATGCAGAAACTAACATTTTAGAGGCAATTCGGCAGTCATTTTTTATTAGTAGGCACTGTGGGGAACATGGTGATGAATAAAGTGTGGTTCCTGGACTTAAGGAACCTATGTAGACTTGTAGATAAAACACATCTATGGAAGTAACTGGAATATGACGTACAATATGAGGGTACAAACAAATGTCTGTGTAAGTGCAGAGTAAAAATTTTACTGAGCTTCTAGTTGAAATAAAATACAGTTTTCTCGAATTTTCCCTCCTGCCCATTTATGGAAAACTTAATTCTGTCTATCCTGCCTCTGCCTTCCCAGTTTGTTTCCTTTAGTGAAAGTGTACGTCACCTAGTGGTTTATGTTCAGAGAATACATTAAAAAAAAAATTAACCTAATTCATGCATAATTAGGAAGCTCCTCAGCAGTATCAAACAATAAATATATGTAAAGGATTTTTCCATTATTTTCTGATTTATTTTACTGAATGCTTCTCTGTATTAGCACAGGTAATTGAGAATTAATAAATCTTTTGAGATTTAAATTTTTAATTCTTTATACTTTGTTATTTTAATATGAATAGAATTTTGAGGCAGACATTTTGCTAAGCAATTTTTTGCATGTTAACAGTGAATTTTGTTAAGGGATTTTTTTATGCTTTAGGGTAAGAATTTGTATTCAGACCCCTAAATATATATAATCCTTGAGTAGAGGAGAGGTATTCAAAGATGGAAAACACAGACACACATGAATAATTGATGCAGGGGGCAAAGAAAAGGACTACAAAGAAGATATAGCAGTGTCATATGAAGTGTTGGTTGGAGCACGTGTCAAAAAGACAGTCCTTTCCCGTGATAGGGTTGGAGAGAAGGAGGGTAAAGATTTCATGGAAGAATAGCATTTGACTTTGAAGAATGAGTGGTATTTGAACAAAGTGGGGATAGCATTCCATACTGAAGTTATCGTAAAGGCATGGACAGAATAGTTATAGTCACGTATAGCAGAAGCAAGAGATTCTGTTGAGAGTAGATCCTTGGCTTTAGCCAAGATGTATTCAGAACTTGCTTTAAAAAAATATACTTTGAAAGATGAGCATTTTGATTAAGAAAAGTTAATTTTAAATTATTTTATATTTTATCACTAAACACTCCTCCTTTATGAACTATGCACTCCAACTACATTAACGTCTTTAGAATACCAATATACATTTTCTTACCTCTGGTCCTTGGCTGAGCCCTGGTGGTACAGTGGTTAAGAGCTTGGCTGCTAACTAAAAGGTTGGTAGTTTGAATCCTTTAGCTGCTCCTTGGAAACCCTATGGGGTGGTCCTACTCTGTTCAGTAGGGTGGCTGTAAGTTGGAATCAACTCGATGGCAACAAGTTTTTGCTTTGGTTTGGTCCTTGGTCCCTATTCTTCCCTCTGCAAGGAACATTGTACTCATCCCTTGTCAACTCCTACTTACTTTCTCATCCTTCAGAACAGCTTAGACATCATCTCCCGTGGAAATGCTTTCTTGATCCTCCTCAGTTATGTTATGTAGCCTGTCCATGTGCTCTTCTCTTTCCTGATACTTACCCATCCCTAACAGTGCTTATCCTCTGTTTTGGATTTATTTGTTTACTCTCTCACCAAACTGTACATACACTCATTAAGAGCAGGGGCTATATCTTAATTTGTTGTTGAATCCCTGGACCCTAGTACAGACCTAGTTCCTAAGAAAAACAGTAAATATTGGTTGAATGAGTGAAACTAGCTTTACATTTTTGTGAGGTCATATGCTGAAGTTTACTAAATCCATTTTACTGTTTGGGGTCTTTGCAGATGGAGTTTTATATTGTGTGTGTCATAAATCTACATATTCGTCTCTTCCAGATGACTATAATTGGTATGTATTAAAATTCAATTGAAAAAATAACAGTCTGTTAGCTATCTGAAATGATTTCATTTCTTGTTTTGTGATTCCTTTTCTGATTATTCTTTCTTTAATTTTGTTTTTAAAAAGTATTTCAATGAACTTATTTACCCAGTATCTGGGTTTATAAGTGTTTTAAATAAAAACCATTATCATTGTGTTTCAGTGAATACTTAGTCGTAAGACAGGCATGCTGTTAGAAGTGCTATGTTTTCTTCCCAAAGAATGCTTTAGCTTTCACAGAAAAGTTAGTTTTCATAGTTTTGTCTAACAGCTTATAGCTATTAATTTAAGCAGTTATTTAGCTTATCTTTTGTTTGACATTGAATGATCCTAAATTACAAATATTTAATTCACCGCCATTTATTTGGTACTTGCTCAACTCCAGTCACTATAGTGAAAACTAAGAATGACATATGAATAAGACATTATCTTTTTTTCCTCTATCACAGTATGTGATATGCAGAAACTGCCACATATTTTCTTAATCTGTGTTCCTTTTGTTGCAAATTTTAGTAAAAATACATTTTATTCCCTGTTGATGCTAGTTTTAATTTAAATTCTAGTTGTGCAGTTAGTAGATCTTAAGATAAATAATAATATCCATATGCCTACAAGAAAGACCAGTTAATATGACTATTACTCAAATTTACGCACCAACCTCTAAGGCCAAAGATGAAGAAATTGAAGATTTTTACCAACTTCTGCGGTCTGAAATTGATCGAACATGCAGTCAGGATGCGTTGATAATTACTGGTGATTGGAATGCAAAAGATGGAAGCAAAAAAGGATCGGTAGTTGGAAAATATGGCCTTGGTGATAGAAACGATGCCAGAGATCACATGATAAAATTTTGTAAGACCAACGACTTTTTCATTGCAAATACCTTTTTTCACCATCATAAACGGCGACTCTACATGTGGACCTTGCCAGATGGAATACACAGGAATCAAATTAACTACATCTGTGGAAAGAAATGATGGAAAAGCTCAGTATCATGAGTCAGAACCAGGCCAGGGGCTGATTGTGGAACAGACCCTCAACTGCTCATATGCAAGTTCAAGTTGAAACTGAACAAAATTAGAACAAGTCCACGAGAGCCAAAGTACAACCTCGAGCATATCCCACCGGAATTTAGAGACCATCTCAAGATTAGATTTGACGCGTTGAACACTAATGACCAAAGACCAGACAAGTTGTAGAATGATATCAAGGACATCGTACATGAAGAAAGCAAGAGATCATTAAAAAGACAGGAGAGAGGAGAGTGGAGCCAAGATGGCAGAGTAGTCAGATACTTCCTGTGGTCCCTCTCACAACAAGCACTCCAAAACACAAGTGAATCAATTATGTATGACAGTCTAGGAGCCCTGAATATCAAAGACAAAGTTGAGAAATCGGACTGAGTGGCAGGGGGAGGGAGTGACAGTTCAGAAGCAGTGAGACATTGCCAGACCTGACCTAACAGGCAGCGGCACCCTGCACACTGGATTGGCTGGCGTGCATGGTGAGGCAAGCATTCGTGCTCCGGACACGTTTTCCACATCAAGAGAGACCGAGCAGCAGAGAGTCTGCTCAAGCCTCCAGAACTGGTGAGAAACGGCGCTCAATCAGGGAAAGATAAGTACAAGTGTCTAACCTACTGCGCAGATCAAAAAAAAAAAAAAAACCCCCCTCCCCTTTTGAGAAGTACCTCTCTCCCATTTATCTGCCCCCTCCCTGCTCTGCTCCAGGTCTGGGTCCATCTTCGGCATTTGCTGTGCTCCCTGGGCCAGAAGTAGGACCCGTCGTGCGCACTGAGCCATTCTCCTGGTTTTGGAGAGGGAACAAACTAACAAACAGGAAAAAATAATCTACCAGTTCCCCTAAGCCAGGAACTCAGGACAGGCAAAGCCCCTTTGCGTAGGCACAGGCATAAGTGGTTCATGGAAATTGAATGCCTTTCACTCCTGCCTAGACCTGTGTGGGCCCATTTCAGCAGTGTGGGCCCATTTCAACAGTGTAGACCCTCATTAGCGTAGTACAAAGGGTATATACCTGAAGCCGATTTTCGTCTGTATCAGCTGTAATGGGGAGTGGCAGATTCGTGACATTCAACACTGTCCTGCCCATTAAGAAGGGTCCTCATCTACCCACATCAGGGGCCTGAGGACTGGTGAGTGTACCCACTCCACCGAGCCACCCACGACAAGGGTCCAAGAATAAGTGGTGACTCCCAGTCCTTACAGCCAACAGCTTTGGGTGCCCATAATCCAGCTGTAAACATGGTCTAGGGAACAAGGACACGTCTTCCACCCACACACTCGGGCAGCAGTTAGCCCCCTGCCTCAATCAGCATATGACCCCCTAATGCAGCCAGATACCTGTGCCTATTCCTATCACCCCTGCCCATCTAGGATTTAGATGAGAGCCTGCACCATACACTCGGTGACCAGTGACCTGGACACCTGAGCTGAATTCATACAAGAAAATTAAACAGACTCCTGGGCTTAAATACCTAGTAACAGCTCTAGCCACCTTGAGACAGGACGTGAGAGCTTCAAAGATGTCAGTAATCAAAGTAGCTCACATGACCAGCCTATTTGGGCATATCAAAACAAAACAAAACAAGCTAGGACGCAGTAAGCAAACATAAAATGAATAAATAAAACTTACTGATGGCTCAGAGACAACAGTCAATATCAAATCACATAAAGAGGCAGACCATGATGGCTTCAGCAAGCCACCAAAACAAAGATTCAAGAGACCTCCCAGAGGAAGAGCATCCCTTAGAATTACTGGAGGTAAAATTTAAAAGATTAATATACAGAACTTTTCAATAGATCAGGAAGCAGATCAGGCAAAACACAGACCAAGCCGAGGAACACACAGACAGAGCAATAGAGGAACTTAAGAAGGTTACACAAGAGCATAATGACAAATTTAACAGGCTGCAAGAATCCACAGAGAAATAGCAAACAGAAATCGAAAAGATTAACGATAAAATTCAGAACTAGACAACTCGATGTAAAGCCATAGGAAGAACTGAGGCAATGGAAGTCAGAATTAGTGAGATTGAAGACAAAGCACTTGGCACCAGCTTATTTGAGGAAAAATCGGATAAAACACGGTAAAAAGAAGAAACCCTAAGAATTATGTGGGACTTTATTAAGAGGAATAACCTATGGGTTATCAGAGTACCAGGAAAGGGGGGGATAACAGAAAATACAGAGAATTGTTGAAGATTTGTTGGCAGAAAACTTCCCTGATATCATGAAAGATGAGAAGATCACTATCCAAGAAGCTCACCGAACCTCACACAAGGTAGATCCTAAAAGAAAGTCACCCAGACATATTAGAATCAAATTAGCCAAAATTAAAGAGAGAATTTTAAGAGTGGTTAGGGATGAACGAAAAGCTATCTACACAGGAGACAATAAGACCCTGACTACTCAGAGTAGTAATAAGACTTAATAAGACTAACCTCAGCCTACTAAGCAGAAACCATGCAGGCAAGATGGCAATGGGATGACATATATAAAACCCTGAAGGAAAAAAATTGCCAGCCAAGAATTATATATCTAGAAATACTGTCTCTCAACTATGATGGCGAAATTAGGGCGTTTCCAGATAAAAGTTTAGTGAAATTGTAAAAACCAAACCCAAATTACAAGAAATACTAAAAGGAGTCCTCTGGTTAGGAAATCAGTAACATCAGATAACAACCCAAGACTAGAACACAGGACAGAGCAATCAGGTATCAACCAAGATAAGAAAGTCACAAAAATAAATCAAAGCTAAACCACTGAAAGTACGGAAACAGAGACGTCAGTATGTCAAAGATGAGAACATTAAAACAGAAAAGAGTGACTAAATAATGTACTCATAGATCTTTCATATGGAGAGGATGTCAAGGTGATATCAAGAAATGAAAGATTGGTTTAAACTTAAAATTATAAGGGTAAATATTAAGGTAGCCACAAAGGAAACTAACCATCCTACACATCAAAATAAAAAACAGGAAAAACATAAAGACTCAGCAAATACAAAATCAACAACAGTGAAAAACATGAAAAGAAAATACATAAAGAAAAATGACTCAGCACAGAAAATTAAGTGGAACAAAGAAACTGACAACAACACACACAAAAAAACACATCAGAATGACAGCACTAAACTCGTACCTATCAATAATTACGCTGAATGTAAATGGACTATAAATGTACCAATAAAGAGACAGAGAATGGCAGATTGGATACAAAAACACGAACCGTCTATATGCGGCCTACAAGAGACACACCTTAGACTTAAAGACACAAACAAACTAAAACTCAAAGGATAGAAAAAAATGTATCAAGCAAACAACATTCAGAAAAGAGCAGGAGTAGCAGTATTAATCTCTGACAAAATAGACTTTAAAGTAAAATCCACCACAAAGAATAAGGAAGGACACTACATAATGATTAAAGGGTCAATACACCAGGAGAACATAACTGTAGGAAATATTTACGCACCCAACAACAGGGCTCCAAAATACATAAACTCTAACAGCTCTGAAGAGAGAGACAGGCAGCTCCACAATAGTAGCAGGAGACTTCAACACACCACTTTTGGTGAAGGACAGGACATCCAGAAAGAAGCTCAAAGACACAGAAGATCTAAATGCCACAATCAACCAACTTCATCTCCTAGACATATACAGAACACTGCACCCAACAGCAGCCAAGTATATTTTCTTTTCCAATGCACATGGAACATTCTCCAGAATAGATCACATATTAGGCCATAAAGCAAACCTTAACAGAATCTAAAGCATCGAAATATTAACAAAGCATCTTTTCTGACCATAAAGCCATAAAAGTAGAAATCAACAGCAGAAAAAGCAAGGGAAAAAAATCAAACACATGGAAACTGAACAACACCTTGCTCAAAAACTACTGGGTTATAGAAGAAATTAAGGATAGAATAAAGAAATTCACAGAATCAAATGAGAA